CTCCGGCGATGATGACCGTCAGCGGTCGTTCAGGGCGTGGGAGATTGCGAATAAATGTGGAAAGTCCTCTCGCTTCGCGGTGGGTTCGCGTGTCGAAATCCGGCTTCGGGAAGTCACGGCACCGAATGCCCACAACGGCGGCTGACTGGCAGTCATTCTGACGGGATCGGCCGAGCGGCCTGCTAGCAACGACTGGTCGTCCGACGAACGATCGCGACCACCCGATGGAGGAACAGGAAGAGGAAGACGAGGACGACGATGAGGAAGAAGAAGAAGAAAATGACGAGGACGAAGAAGAAGGAAGAGAGCAGGAAGATGAAGAAACTGAGGCCCAAGATGGCGATGATGCCGAAAACTGAGAAGAAGATGGGGAAAACCGACCTCTCAGTCGACATGACCGCCGGAGGAGCGCCGGATCACCGGCATCAACCGAGCAAGCAGGACAGCGCAGCGAGGATGCATGGGCGAAAGCTATGGCGTCCATTCCTTCTACCGGTCACGGTTCAGGTTAAGTACCAGATCCAGAATGGGACCGAACCGAGGACACGACCAGTATCGCTGGCTGAAGCCACGCCGCCTCCTTCCGCCTTTCCCCGCCTAACTAAAGGGCGATGCTTTCTAAGTCTCCCGTCGTGCGATCAAAGCGCGGACCGCAGCGGCCGCAGCGGCGGGGAAGATGAAAGCAGGTTCTATGCCGCCGGAGGCGGGAGACATAACGAAAAAACGGAAATGGCGATGGGCGGACAATGGTGTTTGTCTGGCGTTTGCGCGGGAGGTTCAGGCACGTAGGACTCCGGCGAGGACGAGGACGAGACTGGTCCTCTCAAGCCAAAGCCGCGCTCAGGCCAAAAGCCGCGCTCAGGCCAAAGCCGCCTCGTCTGCCACGACATCACCTCACGACCTTACCATTTCCCGCTGTACTTCGTTGCTCAAACAACTCGTGGCTCTCTTTCCTTCTTTTCTTTGCTCTTTTTATCATTTAAAAAAAAGGGCTACGGCCTTTCTTTTCTTTTCTTTTCTTTTCTTTTTTTTTCTTTTTTTTCTTTTTTTTAACTATACTCTTCGCTTAATTTTCCGCACACTACCTACCTACCACTACTCCTACCTATAGGCATACGGGGAAACCCGTAGCACACCAGAGCCTGCAGGATACCGGCCAGGGGACGGCCGGTAGCACCAGGGATAAAGCGGACCAATCCCCCCTGCCTCCCCTCAGGCCCCTTCCCTACGAACATAGCGGACTCTGCTTGATGCCGATCGGGGGATCCAGTGGTCTATCTCTTGGGTAGCGGGTGCCAAGTAAGCCTAGGAAGGCATGAGGCCAATGGGGATTGAACCCATGACCTCCTTAGTCATTCATTATGAAATTGAACTGAGAAAAACAAAAAAAAACAAAAAAAACAAAAAAAAGGGCAAATTTGCAAAATGCCCCTGAAATTTCCGGTAATTGGCGATTTGCCCTCGGACGGCCGAGGTTTTCTGATTTGCCCCTGGGGCCTCTGAACTTTCGTGCAGGCCCCTGTCAGTGAGGGGCCCATCTTTTCGTAATGCACCTACCGGACCTGCGGTCCCATTTCACGTGGTGCCTGTCCGATTTGCCCTCCTGCGGGGCCTGCATCTTTGCGAGATGCCATTGGACAGGGAGGCGCGAAGATTTCGAATTTGAACGCTCCGCCGCCAAAAAAACAGGGCTGCACTCCGTATCGCCTTTGGCCGACTTCCACATTCGTGACTTTGACATCTGGCGAAGGTATGTGTTCCACCCCCTCTTCCACCCCATCTCTCTTTCTCTCTCTCTTTCTTTCTCTCTCTCTCTCTCTCTCTCTCTCTCTCTCTCTCTCTCTCTCTCTCTCTCTCTCT